CGATTCCATAAATGTCCAAAAATAATCTCTCATCGCCCGTGAATTTACATTCGAGGATAGAAACGCAATAAAACGGAAAAATCGAAAAGGCTTGCTCTTCCTCTTACACCCAATTTACTACCGAATCGATACAAGGTTCCGGAAGCTTTGAGAAATGTATCTGCGCGCGAGGAATACGAATGGAAGGAGAAGTTCGAGATGAAAACAAGTCGTGGCGCGAGAAACGATTTGTGTAAACGAAGGGGAGACGAGCTCGAGAGACGAGCAAACTGTCTCATAATATAATACAATACTGTATATCATTTGTCAAACAATGTGTTCGTTTCAAATATTCATCGATTTCATTCGAATATTTTTTTACATTCTTATAAAAATATCGCGAAAATCTCTGCTACAATTTTACGATTGAATATTTATCTTTCATCAATCAAAACTAAATGTAAATAGCGCGACGACGCGTTATATTTTTCCTATACACTTCTCGCAACGCGTAAAACGTTTCTTCCATTCTTCGTGACGAAGTATGCTTGTCGTCGAATTTAACATTTAACGAGTTAATTAGGACGCAGATCGTAAAACGGTTGTCAAAATTGCGCGCGCGCAAGAGAGAGAGAGAGAGGGTACATCTACGTAAGAAATGGGTAACGATTTTTTTAAAACGTGGCCGGTGTTTACGGTTTTAACGGCGGTAACGAGCTACAACGTTCATAAACGACACTTTTTTCCGCCGTTTGAAAAGCGCGGCGCGTGATAACGCCCAAGTCATAAAACTACTTGGCGCGTTTCCAAACGCGTTTATCGCGGGATTAGCTATTCCGCGTTGTTTGTCCGTACGCTTTCCCGACCATCTTTAGACCAAATTTTGGCACGAGCCCGGCCTACTCCCCCTCTGTTTATACCCGTTGGCACAATTCTGGCAAATCGGGTTCCTTTTCTCAATTTAGAAATACTTTGCCGCCAGTGAATCGAGGGGGGGAGAGGAAATGGGGTCGTTAGGGCTCGGTTACAAAATCGATTTAACGGAGCCGTTCGAAAACCGCCACGGGTTCGTTTGATGGCTCTATAAATGGGTTCGTCGTGCGAAAACATTTTCTGAAACATGCTACACGAAACGAGCATGGTCGACGCTCGTTTAAAATTGAATAACGGATGAAATATGATTTGTTAAAGAATATTGTTAAAAGGGGGAATATTGTTGAAAGGATCGACATGTTGCTCTTGTGTGACATGGTGATTCTTTGATGTTTTTTATTTGCTGAATATCGAGCATCGCCATTGAATTGTTTTATTTCTATTTGGTAATTAAATTTGATTAAATTGGTGAAATAATTGTTTTTATCCTTAATGGATCTATTATAATGATTGACGTATTGCTCTCAATTGATTATAATTGTTCTATTCGCTATTTGGCTGATCCTGACTATTATGTTTGGTCGATCATGATTGTTCTGCTCTACAACAATGATTGGCATATAATCTTTAATCATGATTATTCTATTCTACGTCAATGATCGACTTACACTACTTTTACTCTAGCTATGTTATCTCATTTCTCTGATATTTTATCGTATATCTACACTTTTTATTATTAATTATGAGAGAACAACATTGTATTGAACGAGTTTAACAGCAAGACAATAACGTGCCTCGTAATGACCTGTATTGAAAGCATCGAATGATTCATAACATGGAAAAAGTCTAATTGATGATTTTCACTTTACCACGACTATATTTTATCCTGTGTTTTATCGAGTATTAAACCGGCTATTAATTTCCGTCACGTATTCAATTTCTCCTCTTGGCTCAGCTTCATCCACGTACCAATTTATCCCCTTTTCTCCAAAATACGATTCAATTATCTCCTTCCGGAACAGAAGATACGATTACACGACTAATCTTCCGCACAAGGCATAAGTACGCAGCCGTGTGAATGCCGGCGGGCTCGTAAATCAAAACGATTTCGCGGTAAATCGAACATCGCTGCTTATCGCACGAATGTCGATACGTCGCGTCGCATTCATAGAGGCAGAGAACGGTTCTATGTTACACACCGTGTTGAACACTGTGCCGGGGAAATCGTGTATAATAAACGATATAAATTCGATTCGCTTCCCTCCGTTTCGAAACGGTCCCATTCAAAAATGATTTTTCATTTCTCGAGAGGGTCTGGCTCCTTGTTTATAACCGTGACGCTTCCCGATTTCACCGACCCATTACTTCTTTTTAAAAATACTTCCTTTGCCAGATTTAGTGGCTTATTTCTTTCTCGACGGTCAAAGCTTTCGCTTTAAAAGGTTTCTTCCCTCTTCTACGCACCAACTTTTTATGTTTCTTCCATCCCCTCGAACGGATACGCTTTCTTTCTCTTGTTCTCGTTGAGTTTTTCTTCCATTCGATGATTATTTATTATACGTATATGAAGAAAAACGTTTCTTCGTCTCCAATGTATATTTAATTTATTTTAAACCAATATTTCTCAACAGACTTTGACTTTACTCCATTCCTTTTCCCGAATTTGAAAACGAATCTCTCTTTTATCACCACGATTTGAGTAAAATAAATATTTATAAGTATTTTATGAAGTATGACATATATCGAGAGATTCCTTAAGGCAGAATCGATATTAGAATTTAGACACCTCGTTGAATTAATAACGTTCCACACACAAATGTACTCTCATGGGATACTTGCAAATGTTGAACCCTTTGAATCTACTCAGCTGACCTTTACAGTTATCGAATATTGGCAAAGGTGTAACGTCGAAAATCTCGTAACTGGTTATCAATTATTCAGGCGTCGAACGTGTAGCTTCGATTCAATCTATTAAAGATAACGTCAATTCGTTGGTTCGGAAACCACGTAATGCCACGATGTGAAATTGAATTTTATAGTAGCAATTGTTGTACGATAATGGCAAACGGTGTTGTTTTACTCAAGGAAAAATGAATGAGCTACTCATTACTTTCAATAAATTACAGTCAATGCGTCTGATCAGGCTGGAAATTATTTATTATTAAATTTATTCACATTTCGTGTTTGTAAAATGTTCATTGATATTCATAGAAACATTTTCGATCTCGTAAAACGAAATTGAAGTGTGCGATCGAGAACCATTCAGCAAAAGAAGGATTTATAATGAATTTAGGAAAATTAAAAAAAATTATTGCTTTGAATTAGCATTCACAAAAACTATCTTTCATGTATTATATCGTTTACATCACTAGTAATCAATTTTAAATACGTGGATCCAATATCATCATCAAATTGATACGTCAAACGATTGCTTACTTGCTTATAACTTGATGATCGAATTAATTAATTTCAATATTGGGAGAACGAAATTTTAAATTTGAATTTAATTTGCATCAAAATGTAGACAGTCACCCATCACCAATTTATCGTTATTTTGTTGATTAAAAAATATTTTTCATTGAATATTGAAGGAGAAGGAAATTTTTATTGCACAAAAAATTGTATTGAATCGACGTTACACCTTTTTTTTTTTTTTTATTATTAACGTTCCGCCATTATGCATGCGTGTAATAACTCGAAAATTGATCCTCTCTCTTCTATGCACGATTCGCGTGTATCATCTAAACAAAATCGATAATCGAACGTGTTATTAACCATCAGATCGCTTTATCCTGTTATATTCTATTTCCTGCGAAACGGTTACAATTAGGCGAGCTATCGAGGCGATCGAGCTTAATATACCGATTTCCAATTTTAACGGAAATCCGTTCGTTATTGAAATCGCGGAAAATTTCAAAAGTTTCATTAAACGATCCCTCCAGATCGAAATTTCGTAAATTGCACTGCAATTCCTCCTCGAAAACGAGTAATTATAATGGGCACGGGATTAAAATCGTTTTTCTCGAAATTTGAAAACCGCCATTCGTCTTTCGGGAAAGGACTCGCAATTATCGCGAATGCGGTTGTTTCTGGCAGCCGGCCAGTCCCTTTGCATCCCGTAATTCATCCCGAACAGTCGACCAAGTTTCTTCGTGCGCCGTAACAAACGTCGCTGCTCGTTGAAAGTGGATCGGACGAACCGATCCTTTCCCCGACGTGTTTCATTTTGCAAAATGCGTTCTACGGAATACTATTCCGTATATGAAATTCAAAACGATCGTGTGCACCGATATTCTCGTATTGAGCATGTACGAAAATTGAATTCTCGAACCACCAGAGAATTGCCATTCTGCAAATCGGTGATCGTGAGAAAGCATTTGATGTTTCTTATTTTATTTACTCGTAATAAATCTCGAATTCAAGAGTGATTGACTTTCGTGATGAACAATTTATAATAGACGTAAATACGTAGTACATTTGATGATGGAGATTTAAATCTTGGCAAACGAAAAATTGTTTAAGTATCCATGGTGGGCGAAGAATTATCGAAGATAATAGAGGATCTATTTTGTTCACTTTGAATGTTCATTTTGAACAATGAAAAAAAATGGAATGTTACACCGTGGATGAATTATATATTCGGAAATCTAAATTCGATTTAAGCGTTCTCACAGACGATCTTCACAATCATTTTGTGAATAACGTGACCCGCTAATGCGATGAAACATTAAATTCCGTTTCGAAGACTGTTCTCTGTCCAAATACTTCTCAAGATATATCACGAAATATCCAGCGTATCTCGGCTACGTTAATCTTCGTCATTCAGACGGAAACGAAGTTTTTATTTGCGAGATTATTCGATACTAAAATCTTCGCCTCTGAAATGTATCATCTTTAAGTGTCTCTCCAAGCAAATAAAATTATAAAATAATTATGGCGTGACACGAAAGTCTAATTAATTTAAAAACAATTAACGTTAAGTGAACAATAACGACTACAAATAACGACTCAATGTATGTAATTAAAATTATAATAGTTCTACGAGAATCTACCGGCGAAAGTACACGGTTTTAAATACACACGTGAATAATTACACTAACCACGTCTCTTTATAAAAGGAAAAAGCATGCGCAAAAGTGGAAACTCACCGAGTTGATGTAGTTTATGAGGGACAAACCTCCATCCCACGGGTGTTCCATCTCGCAGGAGATGTTGGCAGGCCTGAGCGCGTGCGACTGTTCCAGGGTCCTCAATCCAACGGCAAACACCTGCACGCTGTCGTACATGAGCGCCGGCTCCGCCTGAAAAAGACACACTTTTCTGTTAGTGTCGATCAAAGCTTTAAAACCGCGTTAAATACTCTTCCAAATCGTTCCCTTTTTTATCGGTCTATATTGTGCAATTCAATTAAAAATCATTCGCACAAAAGAAACATATTTTTGAAAATGAATAAATACACATGTCGAATAATTGTAAATTTTTCCTTCAATGAAGAATTTTTATGCCAATATATTTTTGCAATAATTAGATAATAATTGAACAATTTACAATTCATACAACGAATCGTTAGCTTTTTTTTTGTGGAAATTAATGAGATTGATATATTAATTTAATTAATTAAATGGAAGATATTGTTACGAGTTGTTTCATAATTGGAATGTGGATAACGAATATTAAAAACAAAATGTTTCAAGAAAAATTAATTATCCTTCTTTTTGTAAATAAATTTCCGAGCAATTTTTATTCATGCAAAGTTTTTGAAAATATTTATTATTAAATTGTTCAATATTTATTAATCTTAGTGAAAAGATCAGAAAAATCGTGACAATCGATGTTCACTTCGAATATATAAATTAAATTGCTAAGGAAAATCTTTTTGAAAATTAATATATCTATTATACGTATTTGAAATCAAATTATAATATATATTACTTATCCAGATAAATAAAATAATATAAGTAACATTAGTTATAAATCTGAAAGAGAAAAAAAAAAATAAATGAGAAATTGCAAGGAATAAAGATAAAACTCGTTCCAAATGCTAATAAAAAAGTAAATAAAGGGAAATAATTTTGGTCACCCGTTATTTTTCACGATGATAGCAGAGAGAATTTTATAAACGAGGTTGCACGTCTTCCGCTATTATGAAAATAATCCAGACACCCGTCACAAGCGTTGAAAAGAGAGGCAGGAGCATGACATTGGCGTCGTGGCGCCAACCTGGAAGCGCGTTTCATATTCATTTCATGCTCTTCGGCGAAAATTAAAAAAGTGTTTGTCGTTTGCACACGAGTAAGATGCCGGTTCTTTTAACACTTCGTGATTTCATCACTCCCTTCTCGAAAATTTTCGTTCTTTATCGTTGCCCTAAAACACGTTATTAAGAGTATTAAGTTATTCCGTAATCTCAATAAAACACGTTGTGTTATCGATTCGTGTAAGTATATTCGATGATGTAATTGTTTAAAATAATTTTTAACTTTGCTTATTATCGGTTCTTCCACAAAATTGTTAATATTTGTTATAATATCATTTAACTTAATTCAATTTATTACATAATAAAAACAAATTGCTACAAATATAATTTGAGATAAATATTGAAAATAACAAACAATATTAACTCTTGAATTATTATTCAAGAGTTGATTCTGTTAAATTATCATCATCAAAATTAGAAACGAGCGCGTCCCCTCGTCGTCGACTTTTTTAATACCAAAACATGATGAACACAGTTTCAAGATTGACACAACAATCATATTATTAATTCGTGTAAATTCGAGAGGAATATCATTTCATTCAACAATCTAATTATTTCCGCCAGCATATTTTTGTTTCTGCGCACACACAAAGCCGCAAAAGCTCATTAATCAGATTGCAATTTATTTCTGCCCAAATCAAATTTTCCATTTTTGTTGAAATTTTATTGCAATTTCATTTGCAAAAATAATCGACCATGAGCTGACAAGTTATATTCCCGACGAACATATACTGAAAATTGTTTATCCATCTGATATTCGCCACAAAGGATCGAATCAATTTCCTTCCTGCTTTTATTTTATCCTCTTAAACGTGAAATCAATTGGGATTCTCTTTGTTGCTTTATGCGGCTCTAATTCTCGGCGCAAACACACACACGGTATATGTTTGATTATGACAAACACGAGAGCAAACGAGACCTCTATGTGATCCTTGGAGAACTTGCCAAGTTTTCCGGAGATAAGGAAACGTTCAACTTCTTTGACAAGTTTCCCGATTGCTCTTCAAACTTTTAGACAAATTTTCTAACGATATACAATTTTTTCTATATTCTATATGATCACGTTTAAGAAATGTTATTTAATTATTATATAATTGTAAATAATTAATCTCATTTTCCATAAGTAATATCGTTAAAAACTCAATTGCAATTTTTGAAAAATCTATGGAAATAAAATGTTCAAAACAAAATATAATTATTTTAAACAGATTATAAAGCATTCGTTGATTTAAATCGTGTTTCGAATTATCACCTTTTTCGTTGTATTATTGTTATTATCATTCTTCAAAATCTTTTTTTATTCGATACTTTTTCAGTTAAAATGTCCACAGTGAAATTTTCTATAAAATTGTCTATGGCTTTAATAGTATCTTCTCATTATTTATTATTATTTTAATTATAATTATGTCATACCAGTAATAAATACATATAAATCTTTTATATTATATCGTGACACATTAATTACACGACACGATTAATTATCCGATAATAATCTGAAATTAAAATCCGAATTTTAAATTTTATATTTCGATACAAATTAAAATCAAGATTTCCGAGTTAAATAAATTTCTAAAAATTTGTGATAGACGAGCTGTTATAATTCTTTCATTCGTTCAATCAATTGAATTGAGAACAAATAGAAAAAAATTTCCGCGAAATGGAAAAAAATAAAAACGGAAAATACTCTTTGTTTCTCAAAATAATTTGACATCAGCCGATTCCATAATTAACCGTGCAACGATTTCGCATTGCGAGTTAGTCGGAAGGATATTTCCACGGAGCTAATTTTCGCGCGATTTTTATTGGCTGGCCCTTCATCTCTCGTTAACAAGGGAATCGAGAATCTGGACTCATTGATCCATATACGGTAGCTACGATATCGTTGCCACGATGTTTAAACATGGAACGCGATGGGGTGGAACAACGCGCGTTATTCGACACGAACTAACAGGAAATTCGATGGAAACGCGAGAAATCGCGCAGGGTAGAATTGTTATCGTGGAAAATAATCAACGTTAACTGCTTTTTGTCGTTGCTTGCATTATCGGTTTCGTGAGCGAAAAAAATAGGGAATTTTCTCAATTTCGGTGGCTTTCCAATCGAAAGGAACCCGCAAGAAAATTGGATAGCGAATAATTGAGTTTCGAGGGAATGAAATTATAATTTTCATAAAAAGATGGAATTTTTCCAATAAAAATAAAAATGTGGAAAGTGATCGTAGGCGAAACATCGAGGAGATTGTTCAATTGTTATTTAACGAGATTAAGAAAAGGAATTATTTTCTTCTCGATAAAAAGTACACATTTTCGAAAAGTAATAATTTTGAGAGAGAATTATAAAAAGAGAATTTTCTTCTCCGGATGGAAGGCAAAATTTAATTTAGAAAAGTTTGAATTATGATTTATAAGATCGAAGAAAGAGGAAATTCTTTTCTTTGAAGAATAATAAGAAATAAAGTTTTGAGAGAATGTAAATAGAGATTTTTTTTTTCCCTCATAAAAAATAAAAATTTGAAAAACAGTAATCTTTTCATGGTCAAGATTAACCCGTTATTCCTAAAATTAAAAAGAAATGAAAGTTCATCGTTCATCGAAAGAAAGAAAGGAAAGGAGAAATGATAGAATATACAATTCCAAATAGAATTGAAATTGACAAATATTGAAGGCTCGAGGAAAAAATTTAATAACGGCTCGATCCCACGTGAATCGATAACAAGAAATCGATTTGCAGATACATAGATTGGCATCGAAATTGGACAAAGAATGGGCAGCAATTTTGCTACCACTATTGTTAACCATCACCTGCAGCTACATACAAGAAAAGGATCAGAAATTTCGTGGTTGAACAGAGTTTACCCGTGGCACGATGTGAACGCAAACCCTCGTTATTTTGGCTTAATTGGAGCGTGCTTTTAATTAGTCCAAGTCCAGAACTCGCGACTAACTTACGACATCTTCCTCTTCATCCTGTTACGCGTTCAATGAATTGCTCGATTTTCCTATTCAATTTTGTAATTAATAATGAATTTTCCTTAAACATCTATCCTATTCTTAAAAATTATACTTTTAAATTATATTATTATTTGAATGAGAATTATGAGAATATGCAAATATATTACATATGTTATATACTTTTCTTCTATTTATATAATTGAATATTAATATAAATAGATTTAATTATGAAAGTTTTGATGATTTATATTATATTGTAGAGTGTCATGAAAAAGTTATTTTTATATATTATAAATTTTGTATAAGTAAATTTACATTATAAAATCACTGATATTTTGCAAAACAATATTTTTGGATACTTTATTTAAAATAATATTTCCCTCTTTCTGATATTAATTGAATAAATCAAGCTTGTTTTATTTGAATGAAATAATCTAAAAAAAGTTAAATCATTATTTTTCAAATTAAATTATCGCTTCGAACAAGAGAAAAGGAAATATTAAATCAGTCGAGGAGGAACCTGTTGTTAATCTAGTCAGTTTAATTAATTCAAGTAATACTCTCAATAGAAATAAGATCGATATTTTCAAGGATTCTATATTTTTAAGCTTTTCTCATTTACACAATTTTTTGAACAATTTTAACTTCCTCTCTTTGTTCATTTTTTAGTTTTAAATTCGTGATGGTTAAGAATTATCGAGGTTAGAGAATTATCGTTTATCAAGGCATTATATGTAATTATATGTATATCGAATTTATTAGAGACAAAGTGATTCTATTCGAAATTTCAATAAATTTGATGTATTTATCTCTGCATAGTGTATAAATTGTAGTTATTGCGCTTAATTAATGTAAACTAGCTCCAGTTGCGTTAATCTTGTAGCTCATGTTCAAATTCCGTTGGAAACTACGTGAATTCTCTGATTCCCATTCTGGTTTCATCCTTGTCGAAGGTAGTTTATATAACAATGAAATATGTTCCATTCTAATGACCATGGATTAGAAATTACATAGAAATTTGTATCTTCATTCACAAATATATTTAAAATATATCAATAAGATTAGCTTAGTGGTAATTACTTCAAATAGAATA